CTGCATTGTACTAATGGGTGGCAACTGTGTTTTCTTAAGGGGTGATTGTCATTGATTAAATTTCTCTTCAATAGTTATAGTTTGCTCTTTTGTTTGGTGGCTGTTGGCAGTAGTTTTCTAAAAGAAACTGACTCTCTTAACAGAGTAAAATTAGAAAAAGGTGTTTACTTTCGATTAAAAAAATTGAAGTAATGCAGATGGTTGGTCCAAAAGAGCTTGGAGCGCACTGAATGAGCTTGGGCCAGCCATGGAGCTGTTTAGCATCTTGGCTTACCCATGACTGAATGTCTTGACTCTTTAAATATTCTAAGTTTCAGTAGGGAAAAAGGATATATCTGTGGATATATATACATCTACATGGAGAGGTGAGTGTGTGTGTGAGTGCATGCATACGTGTGTGTAAAACTAAGTTGGTTTGCCAAATTTCAGACCTATTCCCTTACCAATAGAAATTATCTAATAGTGAAATGACACATATATTGTATATACTACTGTCAATGTATTGCTATAACTGTTAAGAACTACTAAAAATGTATGAAAAAATATAGGGTCTTTTTTTCCAAAGATTTTTAAGAAACAGAGAAACATCCACAGATAGGCTGCAGAGTGGACTTGACAGGAAAGATGGGTAAAAACTGGACATGGGCTTTTTGGGGAGGGACAGGAAGATTAGAGGAAAGTTAGGAATGTGAATTTGCTTTTCTACAGAGAATCCACAACATCTTTCTTGTGAAAAACAACCCTGGCATCACACTGTCATTTACTGATGGATCATGCTGGAGGGGGAGTCTGTCTTATTAAAATATTCCCTATGAATTCGGTGAATAGAAACATTTTCTTCAGGAAATATCTATGGAAACATAGCCAGAACATCTCTGTATCACTCCTCATTGGGAAGATTTAACAGCTCTGTAGAGACTGTTTGGAGCGTGAAAATTAGGAGCCTTTCAGTGTGCTTTACATACTGTTCTAACAGTTACTAAGTACTTAAAGAAACTTCTGTGAAATGCCTACAGAAGCCTGGCTTATTATTTCTCAGCTGTTCTCTGCTGTTTCTGTCAGGTTGAAATGCTACTGATTACAAAATGATCCCAACTTAAGATCTAGTAGTAGGATAAAATGCCCATCAAAAAATCCCTTAATACAGATATGTGAAGTGAAACCAAAAACCATGTATCACAAAGGAAAATATAGTTATTGTTATCACATCTGTCAAAGGAATTACCCTGTTTCAGTGAAACTCTTTTGCACTAGTTCCTGTAATAAAGGATCTAAGGGATGACTCCAGGAAGAGATCAACTTGTTAACAGAACACCATGTATTGACTGTGTTCAAAAAGTCTGTATATTCAGCAAATCTCCATTGTAAGACACCCTCTGCTATTGTAAGAACAGTAGTTCCTGTGGTGAGTATTTGACTCCAGTCTGAACTGTATCTTTTGCACTACAAAACTTCAAAGTCAGCCGCTTCAGAGAAAAGAGATGGAAATGCTTTCCCTTTAACTCTGTGCTTAACTGTTTAATGAAGAGTTCTGTCTTTAAAATGTCAGTGAAGCTACAGCAGCAGAAAGTGAGTATAACAGGATAGAGTGAGTCCTTTAAATGTTTAAGACTATTTTATAAATAAGTTTATTCTGGTCATATTGTAAATATAATCCAATCTGTCCACAGATAAGACAGGCTTGAGCTTTTCATCACTTGTGGCATTGTGAAATTCGAGCAGCTCCACTGAAGGCCGTGAGTATGTGGGACTGCCTGACACTAGATTTAAGCCTGGGCTTCCGGCACCCGAAGAATTTTTCAAAAACTACAGAAGAAAAATAGGTGCTTGATTTGATCCTTCATGCCCTTGCCCTTCTCTACAATAGAAAGGATTGAGGATTAGCTAAACTTAGTTTGCTCTGTTCAATAGTCAGCAATGGCAGGCGTTTGCTGGGTACTTGACCTTTGCCTTGTCACTTTCTAATAAAAAAATAAAGGAAACATGAGGAGGACATTTATGTAGGAGCTGTAAACACTTGGCTTGTGCTTTTTATGCATGCACTTAATGTTGTTGTTTTACAACCTTAACTCTCCCAGAAGAATATGTAACAGTCGCTAGGCATAAGCAGTTGATGTGTGCTGTTTGTGATGGTAATATGAAATCAGCTACCATAAAACGTTCTGGTTAATAAAGGATGAAACACTAAGCTCTTTGTCAACAAACATGTCTGGGGCAAACTTGATAATTCTTTTTACAAAACCAAAGCTCTAAAATTAGAGGTATGATATATGATTCTGTCCTTGCCTATGTTGCTTTTACGCTGCACTTAGGCTAGTGAAAAACTTGGAAGAAGGAAGATCAGTCTGAGAGCTGGTATTTATGTACATATGTATGTGTACGTATGTATGTGTACATAGGTATAGCAGTACATGTCCTCATTACTATAGGATTCCTTATTATTCTCAGCCCTGATTGAATAAAATTTTACAGTGATGAACAGCATCATATCTTTGTCAAGAACTGCATGTAAGAGAAACAGCACCATTGGGTTTTGGTTGGTAATTCTTCAGGTTTGATCTCTTTCCAGCAAACAGGAACTAGTTATCATAATTAAATACACCACTGTAACCTAGTAGTGATTACTACACCGCTTACATGGAGCACAGGACGTAGGACATAGGACCTCAAGGTCCTAACCTCCTGAGGTCAGTGCAAAGCCTTAGAAAAGTATCTTTGCCACGTAAATATATTTTCCCATAGTAAGTATATTTTTAAATGACAAATATTGCAACAATATCTGCTGGGGCAGGTGAGGGGGGGGAGGTGGTGCAAATGCTCAGCTGCTGTAAATCAGGATAGTTTCATTTCAGTTGACAGAACTATGCTAATTGGTCCCTACTGGTAACCAAGAACCAATTCCTTTAGTCTGGAAGATCCAGCTCAGTATGCACTTATCACTGAGAGCAAAAGGATTGGGCCAAACATACGAGTGTTGTAAATGAAGATAGCTGGACTGATTTCAGTGGAGCTCTGCCAGTGTGTCACCTGGGGGTTTGGTACAACAATTTCAGGCAAAGAAGATACATTCCTTTCAGAAGATTAATTATGTTTTATATGCACTTACTGGGTACTTTTGGGGTATGTTGGCTACATAATAAAAAGCAGGTAATAAAAAGAAAAGAGCAACCTGAATTTGCAGGTGGTCCATTTTATTGGACTAAAAATGAAAGGCAAGCATTTGAGAATCACAGTGTCTTCCTTAAGAGCTAGAGAGGCGGGCAAGTTGGGGCAGCAGAAATGAAAGCCTGGTTCTGATTCAGGCTTCATAATTATATTCAGAGACAGAGATCAAAGCAGGAGCTGAGCAGGAAATGGCAGAGAGAAAGTCAGGTGCAGATATCACACCCTGCTCCGTCACTGTCATCAGCCAAAATTTGGGAGCCAGTCCAGTGGGGTGAATGAATGTGTTTGTTTAAAATAATTCTCTTGACTGAAGCTCATTATTGTTTTCTTCTGATTACTTTAGGTGGGAGCTACTGCCCGCCTGTTTCTGGTAGTACAGGAGGCTGGGCTAATACAGCTGCCATTATTAACACATGAAAAATCCTGGAATCTTTATTCAGCTTCTACTCAGTCTTTCCTAGGAAAAGTGCTGCTGAAATGGGGAAAAGTGGACCTGAAATCAATGAAGACTTACTTCCATCTTCCAGAATACCCCAGTGGAAAGAGAAAACACATCCAGAGACTTCAGCAGATTAACTCACAGTGAAGCAACAGCCTGTAGTAGTTCAATGACTGTGGGGAGGATTTTTTTTTTTCTTCTTCTTTCTTTTTTTCCTTAAAACAAGGCCTTTTTTTTAACCTATCTACTCCAAATTTGCCAAGAATGTCAGATGAAGAGGCAGTTTTGGCAAGACAATAGTGAAATGGATCAGTCTGCATACTTGTAATCTTCTAACTGGTATGAAAGCCATCAAAAGAACATTCTGGTTGCAGGTACACACTCCAGACTTGACAAGCATCAGTGCAAAGTTTGCTAGTTATCCCAGTCTTTATTTTACCCTATACTGTTTGTTCCATAGGATTTCTGCCCTACCAACTGCACCAGGTGGACATGTCTAATTCAATGCATTGGTTCTATCAGGGTAGATGAAATTGAAATATTTGCCTTTGCAGTTATTGGAAATGCAGCAAAATCTGTTGAAACTAGAGGACCTTTATATTTGTCTAAAATCTTTAAATCCCATCCTTATGTATATAGGCACATTAAATATATATATTTCAGACATCCAAATTTGAACTTGGTTTTATCTTCTTTGGTGTCACATTAATTAACTAATTTGAGGTTTGAGCTTGGGATCCCAAAAAGTGAGTAAGTCGGTCATTTGCTGGGAAGGAGTCAATAGCTGGTCCTGGAGGTACTATCCGATCTGCTCTGTTTTGGTGCTTGCCTGCTGTGGGGGAAGCCCCAGCTAGGGGGAGAGACCTATTGTACAGACCTAGCTAAGCCTCTGCTCAGTTTCTCCTTGTTAAGGTTTCCCTCTTGAAGACAGCCATCTTGAAACTCTTCCTAGAGGTGCACAAGGGGTTTAGAGCAATCCCTAAGGACTCTGTGCACACAGCACAAAGTACTCATTAAAGAACAAGTAGGGGCAGGAGCTGCTACATAGAAAAGGGTATGATGTATGATACAAAGGGAAAGCCCAGGCAAAATGAGAAGTCTGATAGTGGATACAAGAGAAGAATCTGAGAAGACAGGCAGTATTTAGCTTATAGAAGAGGGCAATTTTACGAATGATCAGAACATTGGTAACCACATTTTCTCATGTAAAAATTTCAATCTTTAGCTTATAAGAACATAAAACTTCCAGAAGCTTTTGTGATGGGTCTTAGAGCAGGTTTCATTCCCATCCCACTTTTAAACACAGTCCATACAAAGCTGTAGAGTTCAAACTCAGCCCTTCAAGGGAATCTGGTTTTTCTTACACAGTAATTAACAGAAATACAGAAGAGCTTGGTCAAATCTTCTTCTTTGGCTTCCCTAAGTCCAGAGTTGTTCTGGAATGTTGCTCTCTGCTCAGTCTGTTCCTCAGATTTTCTCCCTCTCCTCCTGCCACTCCAAACAGCCAGTTCACAACCTTTACAAGCAGGACAAAGGAGCCATTTGGCTCATTACGTTAAAAGGTGCATTTCTAATCCATCCCTGGGAGCAACATCTACTGTCTCTGGAGAATAATGACAGACGTGTGACTGCATATCAGTGCCAGAGGAAAAGCAGCAGCCAGGAGGCAGGTTACCCCTTACTCAAAGTAATCTGGCACTGACGCCTGTCAGGAATCAAACTTTCAGTATGATCTGGCAAATCTTCCTGTCAGGAGAGCTACCTGAGAGCTGTATCAGTTTCCCTTGGCTTTCACCCACTCCTGTGCCAGCTGAAGTTATTTCCTGCTGGGGAGCCTCCAGAGACGAACATGTGGTGTGCCTAGCAATCAGCTTACTCACACTTGTCTTTCTCTTTGGTGTGAAGATGTCATAAATCGCAAAAGAAATAGTTGCTTCAAGTTATATCAGAATATATGTTCAATTTTATTTAAACTGCCTGTTTTTTTGAATACAGAACCAGCTATCTATCTATTTACCTAAATAGATACCAATGACCCAGAACTTTGGCATCGAAGGGGTAGAACAACATACAAAACTCTTTACATTCATCAACAAAACCACGTTGTCAAACTATGACAAAATGCTGAAAGTGAATGTGTAAAACCCTTATGGCCTGATCTCTCAAGATATTTCAGAGTCTGTAGTCTTTCCAACTGACAAACTCCAGGCTTTCAGTTATCATTGTAACACACTTTTAATGTCTTTTTTCCTGTTGCTTTAGGAAAAGACTTGTCCAGTTCTAGGACACTGACCTTGTTCTGTTGGGGTTTTTTCCTACATAAGAAAAATTCTTATACTTTTCAGTTATCTAGACTTCAAAACCACTCCTGAATCTAAATAGCACCTTCCTAAAGGAAATTCTTAACACATATAGCAGCATTACTTTAATCTTTTCTATGTGCACAGCGAATACAGAAATTTAAAGAATGACAGAAAAATATAATCCTGTAAAATTCATAATCACAGTTATTGAAAGGCTCATTATGTATACAAGAACACAGCTTTCACAAGGTTGTAGTTTCTGTGATAAATCCTCACTAAAACTCATTTTTAAAATAGGCTAAGCAACTTTTGTTATCCAACATGTTGTATGGGCAGGTACCAACATTTATTACTAATATTTTAATTAAATATTGCTTGCAATTAAATGTATGCACTTCCTTAATTATCCCCCTGAGCTGTGTAGATTGTAGCAAATTCAGTGTGAACCAAGTGTAGGAGATATTCTTGGAACGTGGAGACCTCATGCAAGCCCAAGATACAGCTGGTGAAGGTATCAACCTACTGCTGCTGTGGAAATTGTGCCAGCTATGCATTTATTCTCGCAGACAACACTCTGGAGTTTTATTGCAAACATTCAGACTAGCCAGTTGGTGAGAACAGGCTGGAGTCTGGATTGCACTGCTCAGCAGTAACTGAGGGGAAAGGGTGGCTGGATCCTAGAAGCTACTCAGAAACTGAAGACCTACAGGGTTGACATGAATGCTTTCATTCCTAGTAGAAATTACTTCAATTTGTGCTGCTAGGATTTCAGGATCAAACCACCTTGAATTCGAAGCACCTCAAGTCTATCAACAACCCACATTCTTGCCAACCAAATCCTGGGAATTTCACATAGCTCTAGCTTTTATCCCTGCTCTCACTTGGCTTTCACCTGACTCATCATGCCTTTCTGCTCCTCACCTCACTAAAGTGTTTCTCAGGGGTTTTGTTTTTGTTTTCTTGTTCTTTTCTGAGTAGATCCCAGGATTATGCCTTTTCTCTGAGAAATGACCCATTTGAATCTCCTAGCCAGACTTGCTTCTTTCCTTTTCAAGCTCATTGGCAGTGGCAGAAGAGCACAGTATGTCTTGTCGACTTTTATTTTTGCGCGTTTTCTCTTGCCCTCTGTGGTTTTAGTCCATGTTTCTCTCACTAACCAAAATTCCCAATGAGCCTTTTATTTTTGTCCCAAAAATACTGTTTTTCCTCACAGTCTTTCAATCCTTCATCAGTACTAAATTATCCCAGCCATTGGATTAATTTAACAGTTGTACTAACAGCCAGCGTAAGGCAGGGAAATCCCTTCTTCTGCCACCTGGCTGTTAGTGCAATAACCAAAAAAAAGAAGAAAATTTCAGTAATTCTATTTTAAACCTAAAGGAAAAACAAGAACCCCATATTTTTAGTTTATAGATAACTGAGTAGGACTCAGAGTAGAACTACATTTTTTGCATTCTCATAGCAAATTTGCTTCCAATTAACAATGCTAATTAAAACCCATGACTCTTAACATCTCATTAATTTCAAGTCATGTTTTCCTTCCTGGTCCTCAGCAAGAGCAAAGGATATGGTGGCTGTGGCCACTTCAGTGGCCACTTCAGTGGAAGTCTGGCAGCTGCCAGGTAACTTATTCACTTTCTCACCCCCCCAGCAAAACTCCTTACTGTTTGTTCAGCGTTGATGTAACCATCAAACCACCCATTGCTGACACCATTCCTCTTTCTTCTCTCTTTACTTCTGTTGGGAGAACCACCAGAGAAATGGGAGGAGAAGAGATATGTGGGAGAAGCCATCAGAGAATATAGCGATGGGCACCACATTGATGGACAACACAGAAAGAAGCAGATCCCGGGCCACATTTGAATCTCATATATGTACCTGTGTTTTAACTGCACTTCTTCACTTAAATTAATGGGTTTTTCTCTGATCTGCAGAGCAATATCAGTCATATCTGTCTGCATTGTTGTTACCAGTATTATTCACCTGATGCCTGACCATGCTGTAGACTAGGTACATCACAAGTAAAAAAGACAAATCTCTGCCCCAAAGATTTTGCAACCTGCAGTCCCTACACTGCAGGCGTTTAGGACTACATGTATGCAAAGGCCTGTCATTTCCTTCATATAGAGCTGAGTCAAGGGTCTTTCCTGGGAAATTTCCTGGGAAATAAGGGCTACAATAGAGCCCTTATTTGGCTCTTTTGGACAAAAGAGTGAAGGAAACATGGGCTTGCAGGTCTTGAAGGAAGCTCCTGACTCACTTAGCTTGGCCCCCTGCGTCCAAAAAAGATGGGGTTCACCCTGAAAGGCCCTCAAAACATCTACTCCACACACCAGCAGCAAAATACCGCAACACATCACAGCAAACTTCCAACCTACCAAATGGACCAAAAGCCATATTGTGCCACGGGAAGAAAATTGAAGAGATCAGAGACATCCCAAAGTCTTGGCAGTAGTGGGAAATTAACTGAGGAAAACACCCAGGTGTTTTTAGGCTGTGGGCTACGCTTGCCTTCTCCAGAGATGAGTGGTGGAGGGGGAAAGAAGTACCTCTCAGTTTGATATAGGAAATAGAAATCTCCTTTGATTCTAAACCTGTTAGGTGATGAATGTGATGAGTCCAGCAATGAACTTTCCTGGGAGAGAGTGGTGTCACTAGAAGCAGCAGCACAACTCAGAATCAAAAGCAGAAATAGTATCTTTTCTTTATCTCAGCTTCATAGTGCTGTTTACTTTTGATTTTATTTCATAGATTTGCTTCATGCAAACTACATTGAGGGATGTTATTTCAGTTACTTAGTAATTTTGAGGATGTGTTAAGAAATTAATGAAAACTCCAAATACAAAGATAAATAAATACTACTGCTTAGAATATTACTCTGATTTCATGGTCATGAAATAAAATATACTTTACATATATTTTTTTTTAATAAAATAGCCCTTCATATCATAGAATCATAGAATGGTTTGGGTTGGAAGGGACCTTAAAGATCATCTAGTTCCAACCCCCCTGCCATTGGCAGGGACACCTTCCACTAGACCAGGTTGCTCAAAGCCCCATCCAACCTGACGTTGTACACTTCCAGGGATGGGGCATCCACAACTTCTCTGGGCAACCTGT